TACAAACAAGTGTAAGAATTACAATGAATAAGACCCAAATAAATCGTTTAATTCTAAAATGTATCTTAAGGGATGGCAAACACTCACAACGATTAAATCTACAAATTTAATGTGTGATTAATTGTGATGCTTCGTACATTCGCTTCATTTTGCAACATTCTTTCTTTTTTCACTTTGATTTCTTGTTTTGTTGCATTTTATATCATGTTTATTGCCAGTTTTTTGCTTTAGATCGGATTTAATCAATTTCGCATTGAACGTAAGGACGAGTGGAGTGCAGATCTTATACATATCCAATGCACCAATACATTCACTGACACTGAATTCGTTTAAGCTGTCTACGTTCGAAGTTATTTTGTCTCCGAAATTTTTGAGAACCTTAGCAAATTTCCCGGTTTATTCATTACAAAACTGTGCTTAGATTTAAAAATTCCTGTTTTTAACTTTGAGATGTAACAGTTGCTACTATATGAGGTATTGGATTTCATGTCAACTAAAACATGCAATTTATAGAGGATTCCAAAGAAAAAGTGAAGATTTCATCATTCAAAAGTTCGATTACGAACGCATATTTTTGAGTAGAGAATGTTTCAGCGATTAGCAGTCTTCACTCCCAAAGGATTTCACCCAAAGCGATACTAATAGCAACTCGAAAAAATCGCTCATTTCAATTCCTGAACATGCAACCATGTTTCGCAATTTCCAATGCACTCACGCCAGAGTTTAGCGTTCAAACACTGTGAATCGCTCTTCAGCAAAACGTTTCAGTGAAAGTACACTTATAAGGGCAAATTGTATTTTGACGTGAGCAACTGTCATAATTACTTCACAGTAATCGTCAAAATACAATGCGACCGGAATACTTACTGTATGCTAAATATTCATGAACAGCAAAGGTAAATTACTGCAGAGGCGTTTCAGTTGGATCAATCGATGATCAAGACTCAAATTCAATCCAAATGCAATCAATTCGAGAAGTTTGCAGTCAATAAACGTTCACTAATTACAGCAACTTCAAGCGCATACCCGATTGGATTTTCGTGGTCGTGCGGCGCGTTGAATCTTTGACATCATCTGAACGATATTCTCGGTCTCTGAGATACGATCCGACAGTGACGCGAAAAGAACTGAATTTTTCGAACGAACATTCCCCAGTGAATCCTTCAGCAACATACACAGTGCACTTTGCCTTCAACAAATAAATGATTTGCTTAATACGGTTGGTATTCGAATAACTCTTTCTCTCCCCTTATATTCCCCCTCTCCTTTCCTCAAACAAGTGACTTATTTTTAGCAATGTGTTTTCGAATAGATTTAGTTAAGATTTTTGCCCTTGAATAGCTATAAATTTAGCTATAATATATTTAACTGCATCAAGCAAACAACGGAACTCTGCTAAATTAGAAGCAAATGTGTTTCGAAAATACGAAACATGATCAAATCGGAGTCAAAATACGGAGCATATGGTGGCAGCGGGTGCTGCTCACGACCATATGTATGTTTGAAAACAAGCATTATCACCATAACTATTACTATGTTGAATCTAGCTAGCTGGATAAGTACGGCTTGAACGCAACAAATGCACACATTAGCAATGCCAATGTATCATGCATTCCATACTTGTATTTGTATGAAAAAGAACAAAAAAAAACAAGCCTTAGCAATTATGAGATGACTCAATCCCATACAATTCGTCATACTCATGCTTTTTTGTCCATTTTTCAAACTTGAGTTCTGTGGAGAGTAAAATTTCCTCCCTTTTGCTCGTATGGTGAATGATTAATCCTGCTCATAAAAATTTCTAGACTCTAAACTGCTCATTTTTCATACCAAAACCATCGCAAAAGAAGATACTTTTCGAAGCTACGAGAGCCAGTCTTGAGTTATCTTCTTGAATATCAAACATTTATCAACGCCTTATCGTGTTGTCAAATCCCATTTGATATACTCCTCATCCTTATCAGTGACTGCGCAACTCACCGGCTGGGTAAATGTCGTTGTCCTTGAAAGAGTGCAACCAGTAGATTAGTGATAACAGGCATTGTTAGCGTTTGCATATCACCTTTTGAGCTTCTCTCACCCAATCCTAAATCTATTAGACAAAGCCGAGAGCGACCACCGATCACTTGGGAGCTGTCCGTTTTATACCTGTAAATATCAGGATCTTACTGATTCACTGATG